AGTGGAAGTGATGCTGCTAATATGGGCTGTACTTATTTTAGCTTTTTGCCACAGAAGGGTTCGAGCAGAGATCTGATCTCTGCTAGTGTAGGCCCAGACCACCTTCAGGTACTGTATGTTTGATTCATTGTGACCTATTCTGTGTGCATACGTGAGTTTTTATATAGAACTTCCAGATACAGAGGGGATGTTGGTACCAGGTGGAGATGACTGCATTATGTCCTCAGCACAGAAACTTTACTTCACTAGCGTGGCAACAGTGGCTCAGTCTGTAGGAAGGGAAGTGGAGGGTCGCAAGTTCAAGTCTAGCACGGGCCATAGTCTGGAGTGTGGACTGCTTGCTGGCACTGCTGAGGTGCCCCTGAGCAAGGCACCTAACCCCCAACTGCTCCCGGAGTGCTATGTGGCAGCCCATCACTCACTGTGTATGATTGCGTGTCAGGCCTATGTGTGTGTAAACACTGAGTAAATATTTTCCCCATTGGGGATTATTAAAGTTCTTCTTTGTCAGTCTTCTTCTTGTGTTCTAGTGTCATAACAGCTTTCACTCTGTTAGATAGTGTTGGAGTTAATACCTATAGCATTTCACTTAAATATGATTTAGCATGTTGCTACAGCTCCCCTCTCCCAGTGTCCTTCCAGTTCAGTGTCTCTCATATCTGTCCATGGTAAATTAAAGTCACAGGGAAGTCATTTTACCGACACCTGCTTTGTCAGTTTCCTTCTTTGCCTGACCTGAGGTCAGTGTTTGGAGCTGTGATGTGTGGAGTTAAGGTTGACTGCACTACTGACTGCGCGCCCTGACTGACCGTCATCCTGCTCTTGGCTAGCCTACTGGCCTCTTGACCTTCTGATGCGACTTGGAAAAGTCTCCTGAACAGACACAGGGAGTCTTATTCACACCAGAACCACAACCTGAACCTTTTAATACAGGAGAACCATTTTAGCTGCAAGATTCGATCCAACTACGCTGTTGGATATTACTGTGGCTTTATGGCCCATAGTCTGAGACATTTCTGTGTATATTACACCCTAACCATATTTCAGTCGATCTGTTTCCCCCTCTGCCACACTCATTTCACTGGTAATAACAGTCCAGTTGGAGTATAAGCTGGGTCAGTGCTGTGTGTGGGAGGGATGGCTCGTGGTTGGCAGAATGGGTTGTGCTGTGAAGAGCTCTGGATTGGATGCAGGGGGTTACAGAATATTGGTGAGTCAATAAAATCCAGAATACACTCAGATAAGACTGGTCTCTCGATGGGGGTTTTAAGGCTGCTAATTAGCTTTGTTTGCAGTAAGGGGGTGATAGAAAATAAATGGTTCGGTATGTACCTTGGTTTTGGGGTCACGTTTGGTACGTTTCGGTACAGAGAAGAGGAAACAAACCTGTAGAAAAATATATCTTCTAATTTTTTTTGAGAAATTGAATCATTTAATGGTAGCTCTGTCCTGTTCAGTTACTGTACCCGTTCAGGTTATGCCGTCGCAACTTACCTGTTTAAAGTGTTTCTACAGACAGACACATTTTGACTAACCTGGCTAAACCGACCAGCGTCCTACAGCTGATAGACAACAACTGGTGCACTGCACTTCAGTGAATCCAGCAGCATTTCCTTTTATGTCTTAACAATAAAATCTACACATAGGGCTGGGTATCGTTCAAACATATTCCATCCCAGTTCCTGAACGATTTCAATACCGATTTTATAGAATTTATTTTACCAAAAAGAAAATACATTATACCCTACAGTACAATTACTCACTTCAAATGAGGGAGCTGTTCACAGACCTGGGAGCAGCTGGACAAATGGTTTTTACTGGAATTTGGTACCAGCTAATGAGATATGTTTTGTAGTTTTAAACATAGTGTGAGATTTCCTAAAATGGCTGAAGCTCTGCCACACCTGGTCAAACAGGAAGTGCTTTCAGCAATGGTCGTCCCTCCACCGCCAGCAGACCTCATTTTCTGAGAAAATTTGCATAGGAAAATGTTAACCCACCTTGTCTGTTGGACTGAATAAACCCCATGGAAACACATTATCTTTTTTAAATGAAGAATTTATTACAAACCATTATAGACAATGTTGTTAAAATGTTTTTTTTTAATTTTGCAAGGAATTTCCATAAGCTGGGATGCCCTGGTCCAGGGGAAATGTGCTAAAGGTTTCTACTGTAGTAACTGATGCACGCTCAGAAAAAGGAGCAGGGCTGCACAATTAATGAAATAATAATCACAATCACAATTTTGGCTTCCCACAATTAAATGAACATGATCATCTATGATATTGACATTTAAAACATGTGCTTGACTCACAGAAAACTCAGCTGCAGCTTTACATTAAAAGCATTTAACTGGCATAACGGAAGTCGGATTTTATTTTGAAGTAAGATAGTTACAGGATGTGCAAAGTGTTTGTCATTTAGCTTTACACTTGCCACTATCACTAAACAAAAAGTGCGTCTACAAAACAAGAAGAATTCTTTGACAGCAGATCAGTTTGAAATATGTCCGTGCTCTGTAATAGTGAAATAATCGTGATCTCAATATTGTTCAGAATAATTGTGATTATCATTTTAGCTCTGTTAACCTGCTGTCTGGACCACACAAGTACCACTCAAACAGACGCAACACTCACCACTGAAGCAAGCCATACTGTGACAATGTTGTTACTAGGGCTGATCACACTAAACTCTTGGATCAGTCTACATTAGTTTCATGTTTTATCTAACCCAGGTTTTCATGCCTTTTGTTTATCATCTGTGATGTGAAAACATCAGATATCCACACAGAGGAATATAAAGTGTGCGTCCTGCTCATAGTGTCGTTAAAAACAAAATCCCAGCATACCATGGAGCGTCTCTGCTGCCGGACTGCTGACAGACAGCTCTGTCAGCCAAACAGTCTCACCAGACGGCAGCAGAGGATGTCGTACCAGTGCCTGGTTCAAAAGTGGTTCAGCCAACTTCACTGACAGTCAGCACCGAAGCAGAGAACAAAAACCATCACACTCCCCTCTGTTCCCTTCACTCTTCTCGGTTTGTAAAGTTGTTTGTTTGTTTAAATCCTGTCATGCCGTTGCTCCTGCATTGCTCTGTGGACACAGATAAAAAAAAAAAAAAAGTGATTTGGATAACAAAATGCCTTCTTTACTGATGGCTCAAATCAAAAGGGGACAGCATTATAAGTTACTCTACATTTCCTATCAGTGTCATTCTGTAAACGCCCTCCAGTCAAATAAAGCTTCTGCACTCTGTGGTAGAGTGCACAGTTTGGATACAGATGGCCCCCAGGGAAAGATCCCTAATAATTATGGTGAAATAAACAGTGCAACCTCTGGGGCCTGCTAGCAATTTCAGACTTCTGGGTTGACTAAAAGGCTCTGCCTCCAGCCACATCACAAACCAGGTTTACTTCAGAATTAGGGTTGCAAAATTCTGGGAATTTTCAAAGTCCGAAACTTTCCATGGGAATAAACGGGTTAATACATAACCCATTGCTATTAAGCTATGTGGGTTAATTGTATTGTACGCATATAACCATAACCATAGCCATAGTAAATCAAAGGCAGCATGCTAGCTACCATCATATGTTAAGCTAAAGGTTGGGCTACTACTTATGGTGCTATCCATTTGTCTTGTAAATCCCCCGCCCAAGTTGCTCTGTACCACTTATAGCGTTCCATTTGTCTTTGGGCATTACGATTTGGAAAGAACATGGACGCCACCAGTGCAGCAGCTGTCTTGTTATTGCTTGTGGCTCATCTAAACAAGCTCAATGTGAAATAATAATGTTTTTCTACAGAAACACTAACATTTCAAGTTAAGTCTTACATTTCAATAATATTTTGCGTAGTACAAATACAAAGAAAATACATCTCAATATGGGCGCAGCCATCTTTGTTTTGCGAGTCGTACGTTCCTCCTCCTTCAGCTCGGTGTACTCTTAGGAACCCCGAGTTTAATCTGTTAAAGTTCTACTGACGAATAACTCAACTGGGTTTGTATTCACTGTATATGCCTGTCTGCTTATTACAAAACAAAATGTTTATATTTATGTTTGTATAAGATGGAGTTTGTATGAATTACCCAACTTTTCCAGTTAATTCTCCTAAATTCCCATTAATTTCCATTAATTCCCATGAAAAATTCCAAATTGGAATGTTTCTAAAATTCCCCAGCTTATCTTTCCGGAAAGTTAAGTTTCTGGAAATTTATCGGAAAATGTCCGCCCCTTCGTAACCCTATTCTGAATACACACTGTATGCATTTGGCAGCGATAGGTAGCATGGGCCAAGAGGCACACATCCCACTTAATTGCAAATGGTATTCCAATAGTAACAGTAGTATCCTAGCATTATTTTTTGTTTTGCTGGTTTTGAATATTAAAATCCTGACTTCTAAACTGCTGGATCAAAATTGTGGACTTATTTTCAATATTTCTTATTTTGCTTATTATTTTCTAGATTAATTAATGAATTGTTTGGGAGGATGGAAACAGCCTTTTTGCATGATAAATGATAGTATGATGATTGTTGCAGCTCTACTCTGCAGTAAACCCCCCTATAGTTCTATCCCTTACCCCTCTAAGCCTAGTTTACATCAAATCAGCTGATCATATCTCCTGAAGCCAGCCTGGATAGAGAGCCTTCCTGGAGCTCAAGTTACACCAGTCCGTTTACCGAGCTGGTAGGGTCAGGCCATCCTAACAGCTCCTCAGTGTTGTACAGACAGCTTCCAATTAGAGCTGCGTGTGTCATGGGTTTCTTCCTATCCATCAGGTTAGCCAAAATGCTCTCAGTACTGCCATAACAGCCACAGAGTGTGTGCAGAGCTGATGAGGGTCAATAACAGAAATGTGCTGGTGCCACTGCACTAACCTGATGTGTGTTTGGGGTTGCTACAATGTATTGATATTTACTTTACTTGGTTTATTAGGTATGGTCCTGCATTATTCCCCTATGCACACAACACCTAATCTTATTTTGTGCCCTTTTTTCCAGATTACGTGTACTTTGAGAACTCCTCCAGCAACCCCTACCTGATCCGCAGAATAGAAGAGCTCAACAAGGTTGGTTGTCTCTCTTTCTTCCTTCAACCTCATATGTTTGTATTAAAAAGTGTAATACCTGCTAGTGTTGTGTCCTATTGTATAATAGCCTAACCAGGCTGTGTTTTCTCAGCTCATACACCACAGACAGAAAATTCAGATTAACCTGCTAGTGTGTTTAAGTCGTATATTGGGATATTAGGTTCCAGCACACGCACCATTTGCCTCTGTCTCTCCTGCACGCTGTTGGTAAACCACGGCTACTGTAATGACAGGACACTGGTACAGGAGCCACTTATATAACAGCAGCAGCAGCAGCATATGACACAGGCTTGTTTCCCAGTCAAAGGATTAAGCTCATTTATGTAACACTCTTACATGGAAGGGCTTGTGCTGAGCACCAGGAGGACCGCATCGTCCTGAGTGCTAATGGCTGCTGAGCACAATGAATGGATAGTAAGAGAGATAGAGGCCAGCTCTCCAGCTCATGGCTTGTGTGTGTGTGTGTGTGTGTGTGTGTGTGTGTGTGTGTGTGTGTGTGTGTGTGTGTGTGTGTGTGTGTGTGTGTGTGTGTGTGTGTGTGTGTGTGTGTGTGTGTGTGTGTGTGTGTGTGTGTGTGTGTGTGTGTGTGTGTGTCGCTCGCCTCTTATGATCACAGTCAATCCAGGGAGAATGAAACCCCTCATCATCGGTCAAACCTGACTACTACATATCATGGTCTTCATGATAATACCAGTATAAATCTTAATGTCAATGGGTGGTTGCATCAGGAAGGGCAGCAGCATAAAAAGCCTATGCAAAATCCAATCTTAAATTTGGTGACAGGCTGCAGAAAGCTGCTGCTGACAGTACAGACACAGAATGAAATATAACGATGTTACCTTACAAATATCTTAGTATCTGTAGTAGTGATGTTGCGGAGATCACAAAAATTATTTTGAATACAATGTTATTATATCTGATAGATATTATGATAGAACACAAGAGCTGTGATGAAGCTCTGCAAAGACTTTGCTAGTTGTTGGAACTGTTGATTGTTGATTAGTGAGTATAGATATGATAGGCAAAACACGCTGTGGCAGCTTCCATCTGCTCATAATTCATAAATGAAATACATAAATTCAAGTGTTTTTTTACATGCAATTTATTTTAGCTCACTTACATAATATAGATAAGATTTCATGTAAATGATACTGAACCCTAGTTAGTGCCTATAATTAACCCTTAGCATAAGCAGGGAATGAAACCAGCAGAGAAATGAGTGGTAGCTACAAAAGCTTCGACTACCCAGGTAGTACCAGTGCTTACGATGCTCACCTGTAACCACTCACTCTCCATTTACAGACAGCCAATGGGAACGTGGAGGCAAAGGTGGTGTGTCTCTTCAGGAGGCGAGACATCTCAGGCAACCTCAACACCCTGGCTGACAGCAATGCAAGTGAGTAGCAACCAGAGACAAACCTCCCCTCAGCTCCCTTCTTGTTCCCGATAGCATGAGAGCAGGTATGATACGGCTCGCTGCCTTTAACGAACCCGCTCCTCATTGTGTTTCACATAAAAGCCTCAAAGCACCTCTTCAGCATTTATGTAGTATACTGCACCAAGGCCTGCTTCTGGGGTTAAAGACCAGCACTTCTGTGTAAGGCTCAGTGCTGAATGCTGCTTTGGAAAAGGAATGGTTAAAGCTGCCGTAGGTAACTTTTCTAAAAAACTTTTTGTCATATTTTCTGAAACTTTCACTATACCCTGACAGTAGTACATGAGACTGATAATCTGTGAAAATATCAGGTTCCTCTGACTCCTCCCAGTGCTCCTAATGGCATTTGTGAGAATCCACTGGGCCTGAATGAAAACAACCAATCAGAACTGAAAAAGACGCTTTTTCGTTGGTGGCTTAAAGATAGTTGATTGTTGAGTCAGATTCATCGTTATCAGCTATCATTCTTGGCTCCGATTTTCATATCAGGGTAAACATTTTCTAAATATTGCCTGTATTTTAATAGCCATTTTGAAACGCTATTAATCAAAAGACAATAATAGCCGGAGCGGGATCACAGTGTCTGGGTTGGGACAATAAACAATGTCATATGGGTTTGCTGAGGGTGGCTAATGTTAGCAGCACCACCGTGCTGAATGTGTTTTTGCATCGCTATGGTCAGGCCAGTTTATTTCTGACACAACCTCATTCTCATATTCTATTAGATGAAAACACTGACAAACCTCGCTGCTCTTACGAGATTGCCATCTTTTTCCCCTCTTCCCCCTTGCTGGTTTAACATCCGGTCGCAGGGACGCTGTGCTGTGACTCTGTGCAACATCTTAGACGCAACAGATCACAGACGGCGACATTTGTAAAAATCAGCATTTCATACATTTTGCTCAGCTTATTTTAAGGTGGTGGGGGGGATGCTGGGTTCACTTAAGGTTCTACACGCCATGAATGACACCACTGAATCAAATAGTGTGGCAGCAAAACGATCCTACACCCCACTGGAGTTATTTCTAATAATGACAACGATAATGTCTTACAAAACCTTTCAGTAGTATATTGTCTCAGTACGGAGCCTGCAACCCCTTCACCCCCCAACCCCCCCCCCACCCTGATGCAGCCTGTGAGCCCAGCCTCCGTCTTGTGTGTGATCAGAGAGCTCAAGGAGGTGGGAGGGTGGAGGTAGTGGGATGGTGCTAATGGCATGCAGACTACTAAAGCCTGATCACATTCACTCATTGCCCCCACCCCGACACCAACACTGGCTCCCCCTCCCCTCCCCCTGGGCTGCACTGCTCTAGACAAAGACACACACACACGCACACACACACACTCTACACCTCAAAATGGATGCATTAATGCTGTTTTTCTTTCATTGCCTCAGCAGCACACAGATGTTAAGTGTTTTGGTCAGTGATCATTTGTGGACAAGTCAGAGATAAATACAGTGACTGTAATTTCATCACGTGTCTGCTCTTTTAAAGGTTTTTATTCCTTTTAGAGAGACTGAGACGTTGACCTTACAAACTAGGCACAAAATGAACATTTATGATGGTGTTTCTTTGATATGTTTTATTTTAATATATTCTCAATAGCAAATGCACAATTTCACCAATATCTAAGACAGATTCTTATAATAACAATGTTTTGGTTATCATTGTCAATCGTATCACCATACACTGACACACAATTATTTTGTATAGTTAGATTTTCTGGTTCTTTGCTATATCTAGTTCTTGCTTTGTCAATATTGCCTAAAGGATCAGATCAAGCGATGAGGTCCTTAGTGGACGAACCGTCCTCTGGCAGAGGATTTTCCTTTGGACAGTTTGGGTTATTTCCCTTTAGAGATTTCCTTATTTGAGTTGTAGGGTCAGTCTGATCTGATCAAACTAAAACCATGCAGTCCTGATGAAGCTGATTAGCTGTTAATAAATGATTCAGAATGTTTTCATTTCCTCATTTAATAATTAATATTTATAGAGGGATACTTAAGATATTTACTTAGTTCTGTTTTAAGTGTCTTTATCAGACACAGAGCTTTATAACACTCTGAGTCAGTTTATGACAGCAGCCATCGTTTTATTTTTGAGCGTGACAGTTGCAAGGTTAGCAATTAGTTGTTCCAGTACCAATACTAGTATTCCTCCGATACTGCCTAAAATACAGTATTGCGTGTACACATGGCTATGCACTGATCCTAGACCACAGGATATAGTAGCCCCTGCTGATTCTCAGCAGTGTCCCATTCGCCATATTTTTCCCAGGATGGTTAAGTAATGACCTCTCCTACTCTGTCTCTGACACAGGGTTTAGCTTGAGCCAGACCATACAACAATCATAAAGGCTTAGCAGTATACACTTTGTGTATACACAAAAAATACTAGATACTAATACTAATACTAATATAGAGACAGTGTCTATACATCTATTGTTTAACGCACATGTATCAGATTGGTATTCTGTACCGGCTGATAAAGTTCAGGTATCAGAATCAGTATCAGGAAGGAAAAAATGGTATCGGAACAACTCTATTAACTGTAGAAATATGCTGTTGTCTCATCTTTACAAAGTGATGTAGCAGTTACATAAATGCATTTGATTGGCTAATGGAGTGCCTTGCCGGACAACGTCGCGCTGTGGTTGCCGGGCATGCCACTCCCACTCAGTCACCAGAGAGGGCTGGGGGTTTTTTTTCTTCCCAATTGCTACTGCTGGTCGCAACCATTGACAGTATATATAGTGGACAGACCTTCCTGGTCTGTGAAGTGAAGCCAACAAAGATTTGTCTTAAACCTGCATTCTATGTAAAGGCCAGCAGGGGGAGCTGCATTGGCTGCAATAAAAAAACAATACCTTGAAGTCTCATGGAGAAATGAGCACACTTCAGTTTCCTAATGAGTTTATGGTCTCAGTCTCTAGTTTCAAGTCTTCCATACAGCATGGTGTTCATTTAATAAATTAGCTCAACTCGCAGTACGTCACATTCGCTGGCTACAGCAAACTCAAGGCTTCAAAACAGTACAAACCAGTGGGTGACGTCATGATAGGTTCACACAGCCTCATCTACACTTAAGTGTCTAAATCTGAATACGCAGTATCCTAACTATCATTAGTTCAGTTTCGTGAAGACTTAATCTGCACTAAAACACCAAAACAACCGCACTGGGTAAATGATGCAGTATTGTATAGTATTAGATTTAATGGCTGTTGACTTAGACTTAGACTTCTCTTTATTGATCCCTTTGGGATGACTCCCGCAAGGAAATTGGATTTCCAGCAGCTTACAAAACACTTGCATAGAAAATAGAAGAGGTATAAAAAATACAGTATAAGATAAACAATAAACTCTTAGCTAAATATAGAAAGTAAACAACAAACTGTAAACAATAACTCTTAGCTAAATATAGAAAGTAGAGATAAGAATAGAAGTGAAATAAAATTCACAGAAAATAAAATCAAATAAGATAAATGTAGAGAACTGTATAGAGGATAAATATAGATAAATAAAGATTAATATATAGGACTGTATATGGCATAGTGTTATTATACAAATTGAATTATTGCACTTAAGTGGTGGATTAAGTTATTGCACAAAAAAAAGAAGAAGATTGTCCAGGTATGTATGAGTAGATTATTAATTGCACAGCTACCACTGCTTCCCTTCTGTCCTCTTTACCCTATTTCCTCCTCCCCCCTGAGTGAGGAGTTGTAGAGTATGATGGCATGAGGGACAAAGGAGTTCTTGAGTCTATTGGTCCTACACTTGGGAAGGAGCAGCCTTCCACTGAACAGGCTCCTCTGGTTGCTGAGGACGGTGTGCATGGGGTGGCTGGCATTGTCAATAATGTCCAGCAGTTTGTCCAGTGTCCTCCTCTCTGCCACCGTCACCAGTGAGTCCAGCTTCATGCCGACCACAGAGCCGGCCCACCTGATCAGTTTATCCAATCTGGAGGTGTCCTTCTTGGATATGCTGCCCCCTAGCACACCACAGTGTAGAAAAGGACGCTGGTAACCACAGACTGGTAAAACATCCACAGCAGTTTGCTGCAGATGTTGAAAGACCGCTATCTCCTAAGGAGATAAGATAATATGGGAAGATTTCCTATTTATCAGACTAGTGTTTCCATAATCAAGAATAAACCTGGGTACACTGTATAATAGTGTTTTTGATCCCGAGTCATAAAATAGGGATACACAATCAGGGCTGTAAGAAAAAATAAAAATTATCGTATTGCAATATTCTGTTTTGTGATAATGTATTGATTCTCAAAAACACTGTATGGGTATATTATGAGTTAAACCCCCAATCAATAGATAGTGATGGCTGGATACAGACACTGTGATAAATACAAATCCACATCCCACTCTTCTGGTGGCATAAAAAACAAATTTTATCCATATGGTGCTGTGTTTATACTGTGTCAATTATTTTTCTAAAAATCCGATTAAAAAAAAAATACCATAATATACTGCCTATCTTAGAGTATCACAATATATCACAGTATATTGAATCATAACCCCTGTATTGTGATGTGTATCATATCACCAGATTCTTGCCAATACACAGCCCTATGCATGATCTGGAGCTGATAAATTATCCATCAATAATGGGAAATTTATATTATTATTATTATTATTATTATGTATTCTGATTATAGCCAATAAATGATCAGTCAGTAATTTTTTTTTTTTTTAATTCTAAGCTTTGTGTTCTACGAAATACCAAAGTATGTTTGAAGTTTTTTGTTGAACTTTACTAAAAAGAATAAATGAACATTTGAAGAGTCAGAACTGTTGTTGTTGTTGTTAATAATAGTGATGTCAGTTAGATTTGGTTGGAACAGAGCTATGGAATATTAAATCATCCATCTTTGCTCACTACACCTCAGCTGTTCTTACCCTCAGGTGTGCATAAACTACAGGTTGTGACACAGAAATGTGAAGTTATCTTATCGATGTCAGCCATGAGAAGCACGTAATTGTTGATATTGGCTGAAAAAAGTACCACATCGTGCATTCCTATTGTAAAAGCTAATCTAGGTAATTTTGTTTGTGACTGCTCAATCAACAGTTATATTGACATTTTAAAATGAGAGACAGAAAGTTCCTAACTTCACTGCTACAAAGCTCAGACCTTGTCTGGGTCATTTTTCAAAGTTTAGTGTCAGGTCCACACCATCATGCAACATGGTGTTGGTGAGTATTTTGGAAATGCTTATATTATTGAGATACAGAGGGATGTGTGTGACTGAGCCTGCTCTGGTCTGCTCAGTCTGGCTCCATGTGGCCCGTTGTGATCCTGTTACAGTGATGAAAAAGTGAAGCGGCGTCTTCTCTTTGCTCGTTTGTACTAAACCTTGCTTTATCTGCCTCTCACTGCTCCCCTCCTCTTCCTCCTCCTTCTACGTACACACATCAATTCTTTGTGCAGAACAAAAGGCCCTTGATCTGTCCCCGAGGGCCACGGCACGCAACGGGTTAATTCTGACTTGCCTTGTGTCTTTGTTAGGGCGAAGGAAGTGTGTGTCTGTGTGTGTTTGTCTGTAAGAGTGTGTTACTGTTATGCCGTGTGCACTTTAAGTGCCTGTCGCTCCGTGTGTGTGTGTGTGTGTGTGTGTGTGTGTGTGTGTGTGTGTGTGTGTGTGTGTGTGTGTGTGTGTGTGTGTGTGTGTGTGTGGGAGGGAGTTGGGGATACATGTTGGGGGTGGTGGGGGGGGGGGATGGGCGCCTCAGGTTTGGTACACAGGGTTTCCTACTTTGTCTGGCAGGGACTAGCCGGACGGTGGGGGGAGGGGGAGGGGGTTGAGAGGTTAACAGAAAAGGGGTGTGGCTTAGGGGAACCGTCCCTCTTGCTCACTATCTCTCTCGCTCTCTCTCCCTTGCCCTCACTGACAGGGTTTCCTGTGGCTGAGTGCAGGGGCGGAGTCCACGGAGATGGAGCGATATAGTCCCTCCCCTCCAGCTTGCAACAAATTACTCACCCGCCTGAAATTAGGAATGCGCAATCTAGTGGCCAAAACACACACACACACACACACACACACACACACACACACACAAGAGAGAGAGCTGCCTATGGCTTAATTTCTTCATACCTCTTACTGGCTGGGAACATGGGTGTCACATGGGTGTGGTAATGTGAAACAGGGGCATTGTTTTACAGTAAGTCCATTATTAACTGTGTCTGTGGGCCCGTGCATTGTAGTGGACAGCAAATATCGAGCACACAGTTTAAATTCACACATTTTGCATATGTCTTAATTCACTGAATCTCACCATCGTACTCTAGACTCATTTTTACTAACAAGATAATTCAACAAACTTTGAACTGTTATAAAGCGCTTTACAGAGGATTAACAAAATATTAACTGCTGCAATAGAAAGCAATAACAGCAACGTAAGAAATGAGGACAGTAAAAACTCATTACATAGAAGCACACCTATAAACATAATGGCTTAAGGCTATGTTCAGACAGACAACAAGCCTCCTTATTCATGTTAATAAGACCACTGCTTTGGCACAGCAGGGGGCCCTGACGTAGAAGTCTCCCTCAAATATATTGAGCTTCGCTGCAAAGGTTGTCACGTGTTTAAAACGATAAGATCCCTGTAGGTAGTTTTGAAAGTGCCATAGCTATATTAATGAACAATTTGTCATCCCACGCAATATATTGCCATATTGCCCAACCCTAACCTGTTGCCGCCAAAGATAAAATGATTGTCACTGTAATAACTTTCCATCCAGAGTTGTAATATCTAATCTCATAGTGTTTCAAACTGTTCGATAAACCTTCAAACTCATTGATCTATTACTCAAACTGGGTTTCATAGATTACTTTTTGTGTTGTCTCACCTGCACCTGAAGAGTCTGGCAACATGATACGTATCACGATACAGAGGTTACGATTGAATATATTGTTATACTGTATGCAAGGAAATATATTGTCATTTCTGTTTTTTAACTTACTTTAGGGAAACTCAAAGAATAAAGAACATACCATCAAATCCATAAAATCTGAGTTTAAAAAAAGTTGCCTTCTTTTATGCAACCAGAACAGTGGGATCTGCGTTATAGTACGCACAGTTCCTGTAACATCCAACATCATATCCCTCCGTTTACAACACTGTTATTTAGCCGTTGGGGTTTTAACACAAAAAGTCAAGTGTTTTGGAGAATCAGCCACTAGTGGGCCTCTCTATGAACACTGGGTAACAACCAAGGCATGGGTTCGCTTAGTGCCTTCATTCAGCCTCTTGTCAATGCAAAAGCTGCAACTGTGAATGTTTGTTTTTCGCCCACATATTTAACAAACCCAGGGATTCATGTGGGGTTCCTGACCCTTAGGTTGCACATCAGTGTTTTAGAACCTACTGGGATTATTTGCGTGTCCTCTTGCAGTCTGTGACAGTATATGATGCCTGTCATGTCAGAAGCGCTGATGCTGATGCATGTGTGTTGCAGGAGAGTTCGAGGAGGAGTCGAAGCAGCCAACGCTGTCTGAACAACAGAAACACCAGCTCAAACACAGAGAACTCTTCCTGTCTCGACAGTTTGAATCTTTACCTGCTACTCACATACGGTACGTGTTTACTTACAGGAGCAACTGGCATGAGCTGCAGTTCAATCCAGACATCTGCTCTGCGCAGTTAGGGCTGAACTGCAGAGTAAATTGTCCTTGTTGCAGCCATTCTCAGCTGTTAAGGCAGCAATATTTTTTGTTCCTGCACAGGCCCTCCCTTTGTATTTCCTGTTTAGAAAAAGTTGTTGCCTGTCCTGTTAAACTGCTGTTAAATGAATTTTCAGGTGATGCTATAGTGACGTAGATACTTAAACATTATGGACTCGTCATTCTAACACCAATCTTAGAACATAAACTAAAAGCTGCACCAGCAATACATGCCCTATTATTCACATTATTACGTTAATATTCTCAATCAGGTTGTCAATAGATAGATCAATAATTCAATTCAATTCAATTCAATTCAATTTTATTTGTATAGCGCCAATTCATAACAGAAGTTATCTCAGGACACTTTTCAAATAGAGCAGGTCTAGACCGAACTCCTTATAACATTAATTACAGAAACCCAACAGTACCACCATGAGGAGGAGTGTTCTTATCAGTGTCCACTGGTTTCTGCACAAACAAGAGGAACACCTTTATGGTACAATGTAATCTGGTACAGTAGCTCTGATATAATCAGTTATCATGTTCGCTTGACACCTATCAGACGTATTGTCATTTTACTACGGTGTACTGTTTTTGTTTTTGTTTTTTTTCTCAGCATAGTTTTTGCATGGTTCTTATTGGCTGTAGTGTTACAGTATTGTGTGTCTTTTGTATCAAACCTTTATTTTAACATTTTAAGAGTCTGTACATCTTAGACTGTCTTAGACTGAATGCCCCTCTCTGTCTCCCCAGGGGGAAATGTAACGTCACCCTCCTCAATGAAACAGACGTTTTGGCTGGCTACCTGGATAAAGAGGTAGGACACCATCTGTTCATTTGTCATCAGCACATTTATTCTTAGTTTTTAGTCTTCACGTTACAATAGAAAGACGCTGTAAATAAATTAATGGAGCAGCGTGCGTTTGGCAAGCAGCTGTAATCTTTTGCTGTGTGTTCTGTCCAGGACTGCTTCTTCTACTCGTTGGTGTTTGACCCTGTCCAGAAGACCCTACTGGCAGACCAGGGTGAGATCAGGGTGGGCTCCAAGTACCAGGCAGAGATCCCCGACAAGCTAGCCGAGGGTGAGTTGGAGATACCAGGCTAGCAAATGTTTCTTTCAACCTGTAAAAAGAAACGGTAAAATGTTTTTCTTAAGCTGAACCCAGTTCCTCCTTGTCTCAGGTGAATCAGACAACCGGGTCCAGGAGAAGCTGGAGACCAAGGTGTGGGACCCCAACAATCAGCTCAAAGACCCTCAGATTGACCAGTTCCTGGTGGTGGCAAGGTAACGTTCCCCCTGCCATCTGTCACCCAGTTGCATCATCACTGCTAGATCCTGTTGCCATGACAATATCTGACAGCTTTTCTAGTGGATATGCATGAATTGGCAACAAGTTGAATAATGTCTCATGGGAAAATAAATGTTATTTCATGGTTGGTACATGTATCATGGGCTGTTTGCAGGAGCTTAAGATAAGATTGTCTTAATGTTATGAGACTGAGCTCAGCAGAATATCACACACTGATAATGTGTCCTGGATGTCATTTCAATTTAGGTTGTAGACACATCACACACACAAACGCATGCCAAACATACATTAGGATGCATTTAACACTAGTTTAGCAATGGAATGATTATACTGCAATAGTGTTTCAAGAAATCCATAGTTCAAGCTCTAAGTTGCTTTTGGAGGGAATCATCCTGCAGCCCACAAACTGGTCCCTGAGCCAAACACTCCATCTAGTGGTCACATTGCAGCACTACTACATTGCAAATGTAGAAGAGACAAACGGCTGATCACAAAGTGTTTATTTCAGAGCTGTGGGGACATTTGCTCGGGCGCTGGACTGCAGCAGCTCCATTCGCCAGCCCAGCCTCCATATGAGCGCAGCTGCAGCCTCAAGAGACATCACACTGGTGAGACCATTGACTGTGTGAGTGTGTGTGTGAGTGAGTGAGTGTGTGAGAGTGAGTGTGAGAGTGAGTGTGAGAGTGAGTGTGTGAGCGAGTGAGAGGAAAAAGTTTTAATAACTGCCAGATTAGTTCACCTTAGTTAGTGCAAGGTTGGAATACCAACCAGGCAATTGCTCAGGTAACCCTTGGTCACCCTTCTTTCTGCTGTCAGTTCCACGCCATGGACACGTTGCAGAAGAACAACTATGACCTGGCCAAAGCCATGTCCACCCTGGTTCCTCAGGGGGGTCCGGTGCTATGCCGTGATGAGATGGAGGAGTGGAGCGCGTCAGAGGCCATGCTATTCGAGGAGGCTCTGGAGAAATATGGCAAAGACTTCAACGACATCCGCCAGGACTTTGTAAGCGCTTCTTCTCTGCAGCACTAGTGTATAATTCCAGGCATTCTGTATGTATCCTGAAGGTGGAATTCTTGCTCAACATGGTTCCTTTTCTCCCTCAGCTGCCCTGGAAGTCTCTAGCCAGTGTGGTCCAGTTCTACTACATGTGGAAGACCACCGACCGCTACATCCAACAGGTAGGTCTGCACAAAATACCTAAAACATTCTGATTTGTGTTTAACTGCATGTCTCTCTGAGTTTTCCTCACAAACCCATCTCCCACTCCCTGCTTCCTCCACCAGAAACGACTAAAGGCGGCAGAGGCAGACAGCAAGCTGAAGCAGGTGTACATCCCCACCTAGTGAGTATCACTGTAAAGTTCCACGCAAAGCACCTTTCTTGTGTGGGAACCGCTGTTAGAATATTTCACTGTTATCTCTGCACTCTTCTCCCCTCACAGCACCAAACCCAACCCCAACCAGATCATGGTTCCAGGCAGCAAGCCCGGCATGAACGGCGCAGCAGGCTTTCAGAAAGGACTCAGCTGTGAGAGCTGCCACAGTAAGTACACTCTGAAGGAGCTGCAGACAGGTGAAGACCCGAATGCTTCAAAGCTTCAACTGCTGTCTTACCCATATAGACTTTACTTGGGTGGGCCGCCCAGGTATATTAACGGCTAGTGACCCATTTTAGCATTTTGCAGAGAAACACAGACAGACAGTGAGATGTGATCTGGTATTACAATAAAAAGACCCATTAATGAAGTTAATGTTACTTGTATAAAGCTGCAGTCTCAATTTTAGATTAGTTTTTGGCAAATATTAGTATTGATCATGCGGAAAAAACTACAAAACAAAACCGACATGGAACCTGGTATGGACATAAAATGGGTCTTAAAAATCTTAAATTTGACCTGTTGAAAGCTGCAGAAACCCAGAAGTCATAATGTGGCATTATTGTAACTTGTGAGAGGAAAACAACACAAACAACTATAAAAGCAATAAAAGAGAGGCTAAGGTTGAACTCTGGGCTACTTTGATCAAACGACAAAACAGCTCTTCCTCTTATTTTAAAGCAGAAGCAGAAATGTAATTTGTATGCAATGCAGATGTGAACATCTGCAGTATCGCCTATAGAAAGAGGATGGTTTGAGTTCCTGGGGTTTTATAGAAACATTGTACTGTATATGAAAGCTGATCAGGTATATTTCAGTAGTCACTTCCTCTTCACTGTGTGTATTGCCTTTTACAGCAAAGCCTGTATTCTTTTTCACACTGCACAATGACGCTGCACACTTGGTGTCATCTACAAAGCTGTGAGCAGATGTAGATATTCAAACATTGGTTTTCTACTGCTGTATCATGTTTAGTCCACACAATAACAGCGACTCTCCCCCCACCATCCCAGCGGCCCAGTCTCCTCAGTGGTATGCCTGGGGGCCTCCCAACATGCAGTGCAGACTGTGCGCCTCCTGCTGGATCTACTGGAAGAAGTATGGAGGCCTCAAGACCCCCACACAGCTAGAGGGCGCTGCTAGAGCTGGCTCTGTAAGTCTCCTCTTTCATCAGTTAAAAGCAGTGCAGTTTTGAATCATATTGCACTGATTAGAGTTGCCTCTCAGAACAACATGTCTCAAGGATGTCCCCTCTTCCTCTCCGTCCAGGAGTCAGGCCCTCGGGGTCACATGACACGCCAGGAGGTCCAGGGCATGTCGCCGTTCACCCGCAATGAGGGTCGAGCCAAGCTGCTGGCCAAGAACCGCCAGACATTCATCCTGCAGACCACCAAGCTGACCCGCATTGCCCGGCGGGTGTGCGAGGACATCCTGCAGCCCCGGCGCGCCGCACGGCGGCCCTATGCCTCCATCAACGCCAACGCCGTCAAGGCTGAGTGTACGTTCACACACACACATCCACAATAATTTCCTGAATAGTGCTTGTTATTAATGAGCTTGTCATCATATGTGAATTATACTTTCTGTAAGTCTGTAAGCTCTACAGCTGTTCAGTTCACAATCTCTGGTTTTAAAGTACAGTGTAAACTAGTAGATTCATGTAAACCACATTGTTTATGGGTTTAAATGTTTGATTTCTCTGTACCCTCAGGTATGATCCGGCTGCCCAAAGCCACAAAAACTCCTACAAAGAGCAAGTTGGTGCCTCGACAGTCGCTGGCCACCATAGTGAAGGATTTAGGTAAGAACACGTCAGATGACCTCCCTGGCAGCAGCTCTCTGAATCCTAGTTTGCTACATCCTTCCTCCAGTGTGATTGGTTGTTGAGGAGTGCTGTTGTGTTTCCACAGCCATCTCAGCTCCTCTGAAACTGAAGGCGTCTAGAGGACCCCCAACACCCATCAACAGGAATCAGGCCAGCCAGCCTCGTGTGGGCCAAAGCCTTCTGGGAAAGAGAGGCTTCGACAGCGTAAGTATTCCACACACGTTTGTTACATTGGTTTTTGTCCCCGTTGACTGAGGTGAATCAATCAGTCCGCACATACTGTTGAGATTTGGAAGGTGTGTGTGGTAGCTCCTCTCCTCCCTACGGCTACAGACACTTTTCAAATAGAGCAGGTCTAGACCATACACCCAACTTCCTTTATAACACCTTTCCCTGTGTAGGTCCACAGAGACATTTACCTTCAGATAAGTATAATCCCAGCATCAGACTAAACAACATTATAGCGCTACCTTTACTTTTACTAGTACAACTGGTCATATAATTCCAAAAAAATGTACTTTCTGTCTTTTTTTGGGACATTTTGTCTTTAAAGACTTAACTGTGTAAAGACAAAAAATATGGAGAGAGGAGTATGACATGCAAACATGAACCTGGGATCAGCAGCATACAGCACATATACAGTATAAACATTAACCCAGGTACAGAGCTGCTTTACATGGTGAGTGACATCTCACATAATAGCATAATAACAGTTATTATAGTTAAGAGGATATTTATTGCCTAGCCTCTACCAAGTCAATGAACGGTCTCCATGCATACAAGCCTATAAATGATCAAATTAGTCGTGGTTGATGAATACATGCACAGCGATGTTAATTGTACAGATTGTCATTTTATAAATTCTCTCTTCCCTCACTGTGACTTTATCTGCTGGGGACACCATTACGTACACAAACCTGAAGTCACAGTTTACTAGCTGAGTACCACAAGCGCAGAAACAGGCCACATGGTGACCTTAACACATGAAACTTTTTGCTCCCCTCAGCCTAACTGACACATGTTGAGCTTTCTTGAAGCTGCTCCACTCCTAACTTTAATCTTTAAAGTGAAACCACACGGTTGATATACCCTCCTGGTCTTTAATTGGTTCACAGGCTGCAGGGGTGCCCTACCCAGCCAACGGGAGGCCGTACACTTCAGGTATGAGGACCACCTCTCAGTCTGTCATCAAGCGGCAGAAGGTCAGCCAAGGGGAGGCACCCAACCCCGTGGTGTTTGTGGCTACAAAGGACACCAGGTACATTTCTCCCATCATTAACACCTACAGCACAGACTGTCTGCTTTTATCAGAACTTCTCAAAGTACTGGACTAGAGTGGGCCCTGTAAATGATATTCTGGTGCTCTCTGTCAACCAGGGCTCTGAGGAAACACCTGACCCAGTCGGAGATGCGCCGGGCAGCGCGGAAGCCTCATCTCTTGGTTCGGATCAAGCTGCCGCCACCCCCTCGCTCCCTGGCCATGCCCCTGCTCCCCTCCAGCACCAGCGAACCCATTGTCCTGGAGGACTGAAGGGGGAGGGACATGGGGGTTCTTCCAACAGGACACAGGGGGTTGGGTGGGAGTTGGGGAGGGTCTGTGCTCAGGCCATCGACTTAACAGGCAGCACAGTACGCCATACCAGTAGTCTTTTATTTTCCCTCTTTTCAGTGTCATTTTTCTTTAGTCCTCTGTTACTTCCCAAATGTTGTGTCCAACACACACACACACACACACACACACACACACACTCAGATGACTGTACATTTCATATTAAACACACAGCATCAGCACTCACACAACGCCTTGGGCTTTGTAGTATTTTATTCCAGACCCTGATTTATTTTGCTCCCCTTTTTCAATGCCGCCTGTTTTTAAATGTGTAATTTAAATCAAGATCCTGAAACAATGGTGATAAAGCACACTTTGTTTTTCCTCCACGTCTCTATCTTTGTGTAAATATATGCATCATTTAAGGGGCGAAACCCACAGTATGGAAGGAGAATGGGGGGCAGGGAAGTGGAAACGGGAGACAGTGCAGGACAGCTGTAGCCGGCTGAAGGTCTAATCTGATTTGGAGATTTCACTCATACACTCCTTTACTCCATTCCAGCAGGGGGGAAAGTGTGGCTGTAGCTCATTGACTGTGCACAGGTTCATTGGTCAAGCTGAGGACAAGTGTTGACAGAGCTACCCTCCCATCATCAGCCTGTTACAGGGGTTAATAAATCCTGACGGGTCAAGTCCTTCCCATCTGCACTTTTTTAACATCCTCCATCTTATGGAAGTCCCTCAGTGTCGAATAGCAAGTGAGCACAAAACAACTTTAGCAGTGTGAAAGTTTTTAAAAGGTTTTATCACTCATACAAAATCTAAAGCGCAACCCTGTTAGACAACTCCTTTGAAGTAGTATGATCAATCTTAGGACAGCAAAGAACCATTAGTTTCATTATATATTATACTGCGAATCTTCTTAATTTATTTGAAAATTGCAGTTGACCCTTCCTAAGCCCCGCCCTTTTTTGCTCTGTGCTCCAATAACCGTTTCTCCCTTTTATATACTTATTTATGCTATATGCTAAGATAATCTTATGTTGAAAAGAGAGACAAATTTTGAAGACGGTTAAAAGATAAAATCGACACATTTGAATTGGCTAATGTTAGCAAAATGCCAGTTAACTAGCTAGCTAATCTACATCAATCGTTAGCTAGCTAGTTACATCTGATAGCTAATGTTAGTGAAATGCTAGCTTACTAGCTAGCTAATTTACATCAATCATTAGTTAGCTAGCATTTCACTAACATTAGCTAGCTTACTTACGATGTGAATATATATGTCGCTTTTATCTTTTAAACATCTTCAAAATGTGGTTGTCTTTTTAACATAGACGAGCCTAGCACATACCATATCAAAGAAAATGAAAGAAAGAAGATGACCGAGTCTTGCCCATCTCTTATTGGAGCACAGAGCAAAAAGGGGTGGGACTTAGGAAGGGTCAATTCTCCAAAGCCCAAGGGGACATCTTGAAATTGCTTGTTTTGACCGACCAATTGCTAAACCCTGTCTGTGTTTGTAGAGCTCTACTTAAGTTAGTTTTGTACTCACTTGATAGTTTTGTTATTAATAGCCCTCCATACCGTCTCAACCTTTGCATCACAGTAGTCATTTTCTAAGAAACTGAACGAGGGTTGTTGTTGCAGTCGAGCTGCATTTTGTCTTTCGTCTCCCGTCACTTGATCGCTGCGCTTTTATAGCCACTTTTAGCTGGTTTGAAGAGACCCTGGCTCCTGTACTCTTGACTTCACCCCAAGAGGTTTGAACAGGCAGTCTGGAATCAAAGGGGAGAGGATCATTGCTGAAGTCATCATTGGAGTCTGTAGGTTTACAGTGTAGCAGGGATCATATGTAGTGTTTGAGGTAATTCAAATGATTGTGGTTACCATGGAGTTGCTGTGTGACTTGCCATGACAAGAGAACACATTTGGCTTTGAGGTACTATGTTTGAGTCTGCAAAAGTCCAAAATGAAGCCATAATGTGCAAAAAAAAAAAAGGTGGACGTCCATTGTGAGTGGACACGTTTTAACCCTGCAGTAATGTTTAGACTAAGGCCACAGCATTTCTGACAATATACAGTTTGGTTGGTTAGAGTGAAACTGACAGAATTATGTTACTGGTCAGTTGATAAAAGTCTGTTAATAAAGAAACAATTTGTAAATGTACAGAAGGCAATTAGGGCCAAACATTAAGTTCTGAAATTAATGTTACAAATTGCAAAAAGAGTCTGAGATTAAAGTCATGCCTTTTGTCCCAGTATTGATTCATTCAGAGCTTATATGGCCTTAATCCTCTTCTGTAAATGTGGAACAGAAGTGATGTTTTTGATTGTGATTAGGTATGAAGACGATGTGAAAGGAATCTTCAGCTGTCTCAACTTTTGCTTTGTTTACTTTCCCGCCTGTTTGTACCGTTATGAAAGGGTGTGTACTAAAAGTAAGTTGTTAATTGGATAATTATAATTCCTCTGTATCCCACAGCCTGTGGGTGGCCACAGCAGCGAGTGCTTACACTGGTTTTATAAGCAAGTTTGGTCCCAATGTGGGCTTTGTAATATTTCTCAAAAGAAAAAAAAAAGAAATTGAAGTGTTCAGTTTGTAGCAAATACTAATCTGTGTAAAGAAAAGTGGAAAACTGGCATATTTTAAACTTTTTTACATCTAAAGTGTGTAATTCTGCTCCAGTATTGTGGAGATGGCTCTAAAAGGCTACTGTACATGTGAAACATTGCTCTCCTTCATAGGGATGGGTGGGGTGGTCATTTGAACCGAGGCGACATTCAAAAGGGACGGGGTGCTGATTTTTGTATGATGGAGAGACAAACATGCTACAATTGAAACTTTTTTCTCAAGTGTTTTTTATTCCAATGTCTCTGTATCCTTTAATGTATCTTGATAAGAAAAGAAATAAAGATTTTTTTTTCTTTGTGGTCAGTCACAGGCTCTTTCTCGACTGTGTTCACCAGATTGCTACCATAGACCAGTGGTTCTCAAACCTTTTTCAGACGTACCCCGCCACTCCTGTCAGATGAACTCAAGTACCTACATCATCAACACCACCAGTCATTCTATCAAACTGAATTTATTTAACACATAGACCATATAAGAGTGGCTCTGATTAGAATATTTTCATACAGTCCGCGTTTTGGTTTGTTTAACTTGAATTTATACTAAATGTTGCACAAGCTGCTTTCAACCATTTACTCATTTTACCTAAGTTTTGTCCATTACTCAATGCTGTTTCAGTCATTTCTCTTACTTATTTCTACTGTTCATCCAATTCAAGAATAAAGAACAAAGTCCAAATCTCAATAAAGATTTGACAGAACTTTACGAGTTAAAAAAGTAAGTTCTTAATACAATTCAATTAAGATCCACTGATTTAAAATGAACAAACAATATAGGAACCCATTTCCAGATATAAGTACTGCAAATGAACCCTTGCTCTCTGGGCTTGATTGAAAAAAGCCTTAAACAAAGATTAGACCAAAGCCAAAGGAAATATTTGTCTATTTGTACTCAGCTGTGGCCCTGTCAGACGGCTTTTAATTAGAAGGTTTGTTTGAACTACTTCCGGCTGAGGTGTTAATTTCGACCAATCTGTAAGGAAGCCGACGGATGTTGATTGGGCCCTGAGATAAACATCCGCGAGCCGATAGCTGCCTTTTCATAAACAACGGTAAAGAAAATCAGTAAATAAGATTAATAACACAATAAGAGGACATTCAGGACGAGTGTAACTCACAATGAGTCTACCCTGTATTTTAGCATAAGCGACATTAGTTCCGCCCTAACTGGATACGGACATTAATGTATGGAAGCCTATTTCTGCCAATGTGACAAAAACTAAAGTTTCTCAAAATAACGAGAAACTTTTGATTTAGTATTTTATGAGAAACTTTCACTGTAGTTTCAATGAGTATCTCAAAATAATGACGTTTTCTGACTAATACAAAACAATACATACACATATCATACATATTACTATTATTATTATTATTATTATTATTATTATTATTATTATCATCATCCCACACTAACTACTAAAAACCTTCTCAATATTTGGATGAAGTATCACAAAGTCACTAGAATCACTTATCAGACCTGTCACTGTTTCCCGTCACATTGGCGGAAATGGGCTTCCACGTTAACGAACGTGGGCGTGATTGGCCGCTCGCGACGCAGAGCTCCAACACACCTGACGCTCATTTGGGCCGGAGGGCGCGAGCATCCGGTTTAAAGGCCCCTGTGAGTTAGTGTGCTGTGGCTCTCTTAGCAAGCAGGAGCACCGGGGTCCGCGCCATTCTACCACAGCTACCTCACTGCAGTGGACGCTTGTTCTGCCGGAGCTCACCACAAACCGCTCTCCGTCCCTTTGCAACCATGTTTGAGGTAAGTCCAGGAGCCCCCCCCCAGCACCGTGCCGTCTTCTTCAGTTGCTTTTAACTCCTCTGCTCCTTCAGCTTTCCTCCCAGCAGGTAACATAACTGTTGAGACAAATGAGTGTCTCCATTAACTGTACGGTTGCTTTACTTGTATTTGCTGTTGAAACAATTGATCACGCTGGCTGGAAAATTCTGTTTTATCAAAGTAACTGATTTTAAATGTGACTTATCGAGTAACAATACAAAACATTCTCTAGTCTAATTTCTCCAATGTGAACACTTACTGCTTCTTGATTTTTATATCTTAAAGCTGCAGTAGTTAACCTTTAAACTTTCCCTAGATCCTGACAGTATGTGAGACCCTATAAAACCCGGTTCCTCTGGCACTTCCTAGTGCTCCTAATGACATCTGAAAGAATCCACTGGGCCTGGACTAGAACATCCAATCAGAGCCTAGACAGTAGTTTGAGTCTCATTACCAGGTCCAATACTGGGGCTGGGAATGAGTCTGCAATCAGTTCAAGCCTCCAACCCAAAGTGTGGATGCCTCTTTGTCGGCTCTGGCTGGTGTCTGCAGTGTGGACACCACATAGATCAGCTAGTGGCAAACTTGAATTGCAATACCCAGTTTCAACCATAGAGTGCAGTCCCTATGCATTTCTATAGGAAGGTATGTAGAATTTGAAACAATTTGCAAAGTGTCCAGATTTTGACCTGAATCAAAGAATTCTAATAAACCCATATACAGCGTGTCAGCAGAAAAATGGTTTGGTTTGGCTACTCTTTATAAAAATGCTTTATTTAACTCTCTTGGCAAGCTGTGACTCATATCAGTGACAAGCCATTAAACCCTGAAAACATACTGGAGTAAATGGCCACAGAGTATGTGTGGTACTAAGATATGCTTTTAAGCAACAGTTTGAACAGATTACAGGTTCTTCAATGGTTGCAGTGTCACAATACTGGAGCCCAGATCCAGTCCCAGGTGGCTTTCTTAAAGGAAACCTTATCACTGGCAGATTATTGCAATCATCACCCACTGCATTGTGGGATTGCTTAGCAGAAAGTTTTATTCAATTATGTAATCAAGCACTATGTAGTGTATTTTACATGCTTGCTTTGGAGTAACACTGACAGTTCTGGCAGTCTTAACTGCCAGAAATAAACTTTTATTATCTAATGCTCAACTAATAATTTTAACAGACCAGCAGGGATGATCTGTTCCTGCCTTCCTACCAAGATGAGGAGATGGTGGACAACCTGCTGTCCAGTGAGGAGTCAGATGTAGATGGTGGCGATGGCGGACACTCCCTGGCCAAGGCCCTTCTCCCCCTGGTAGAGTCTTCCTCCCCGCCGCTCATCCCCTGGGTCTGCTCCACACGCTACAAGACGGAGCTCTGCACCAGCTACTCAACTACTGGTTTCTGCAAGTATGCTGAGCGCTGCCAGTTTGCCCACGGCCTCCATGAGCTCCATGTTCCCTTCCGTCACCCAAAGTACAAGACTGAGTTGTGTCGCAGCTACCACACGACTGGCTACTGCTACTATGGCAGCCGCTGCCTGTTTGTCCACAACGCCACCGAGCAGCGCCCCGCCCTGCGCCGACGCAGGAACGTCCCCTGCCGCACATTCCGCTCCTTTGGCGTCTGTCCCTTCGGCACCCGCTGCAACTTCCTGCATGTTGAGGGTGGAAATGGCGCCAGCGGTCTGGAGTCATCTGACGATGGCAAAGAGAAGACTCTGCCTGTCCCCAGCCCCCAGCTCCAACCACACACCAAAGAGTGGAAGCCACATGGGGCCCTGTGCCGCACCTTCAGCTCCTTTGGTTTCTGCCTGTACGGCACACGCTGCCGCTTCCAGCACGGCCTCCCCAGCAAGATCAAAACATCCGACCAGACCCAAGGAGGGTCCTTCTACCTTCAGCTCGCCCCCGGCAGCTCAGGCTTACCCTCCCCCACCTCCCCCTTCACAGCCACCTCTCCTAACTCTTCAACCTCCTCTTCTCCTCCTCCGTCGGCCTCCCCTCTGGCAACCCCTCCTGCAGAGGCCACGGCCCACAATGCCTTCACCTTCTCCAGCCAGCACCTGAGCGACCTGCTGCTGCCGCTGGCCCTCCACCTGCAGCAGCTGGAGAGCAGCAAGGCCCAGGAGATCTGGGACAACAGAGCACTCTGACTGGGTCATAGTTAGAACCAGCATCAGCACTCAACACCACAGCTCCATTAATCTACGTTTTTAAGTCATTATGTTTTGGGTTTTTTTGTTTTGGTTTTTTTAATTGAAGTTGACTTGAGAGCTTCGGTCAGCAGGTCAAGCAGGACTTGAACTGTTCAGTTGTAGACCAGGCAGTCTGTAAGGCCTCCCAAAAGGCCTCTAGTTCCTGACAGGTGGTTGCTGGTCTCCTGAAACACTACAGGTGTAGCTATGATTGTAATTTAATTTTTTAACTATTGTAAATACTTTATTATTCAACTGAGTAAATGAAATGTCTGACGGTGTCATGAATAAACCAATTTTAATCTCTAACCTTATGTCATGGTTTTGTGTGCTTACTGGTTTTCACTGTTCTTGCACACTAATACTGGAGTAAACGAGGACTGATAAGGGGCCCCTTGGTTCAATTATAGGAAATCTTAAATGCAGCATATAGAAAAGTGTAATGTTCAGAATCGGGAGGCCAGTGGACATCTTCCTGGGTGAGGTTAAGAACAGTAACCAGTGTGGAAGTTACAGCAACTCTACTGTAGAACTCTGGTTTGGCTCAAAGCTACTTGGTGTAAGAAGTTCAGTACTTTGAGGATAAATGATGTACATGATATGGAAATATAATCCAAAATACTACTCAACTTTAAAGTGCCCATTTCACACATTAAACAGTTTGTGGCAAAGTACAGGAATATCCGCTTTGGGTTTTCTATACAATGGCAATCATTCCCACCTGCCTTCCAGAGTCCAGTACAGGTGGGGTTATTGGTCCGTGTATCTTTTGGTCTGGAACCAGCTGTCACTGAATCTGTAAAAGGGGAAAAAATGAGGAAGACAGTAGGTACAATGGTGTTTTGAAGTTAAAACTATTTTTCCCTTTTGCAGGTGGTTCCACATACAGTGCCTACAAATGGACACAGCAGAGCTGCAAAATAAGAATGTGGACTAGAATTGCATTTTGTATGAAAAGTAAACAAATTAGAATTGTGTAGGATTTTGTGTTTAGTCTTTATATTTTTTTACAAGAGGTTATTAAACATTTGTGTGAAATTGTCATGATTACTGCATCATTATTGAAGTATAATGAAAATGCTTCACTCATAGCCTGGAAATATTGAGCAATATGTTTTTACAGTGGTAAATATAAGAAAATATGGAATCTGAAGGTATAAATATGGGACATTTATTCTTAAATGTCTCCAAATTGGTGCAGTAAAAATGCTTGATATTATGCGTCTAGTCTCGTGTAAAAGTCAAATATACCATCAGTAGCCAGGAAACACTGAGCAATATGTTTTTACAGTACCTCAAATATGGTCAAATATGCAATCTCTGGAGGCATAAATATGAGACTTTTATTTTGGCATTTCTCCACACTGGTGCAGTAAAGATACTTGATATGAAGTGTTTTTTTATTCATCAGGGGCACAACACTTTAATATAACATATTTTAATTATAGCTTACTGTTCTAAATACCTTTATTTTGAAAACCGGAAGTAAATACGCTGTTTCTCCGCATTTACCATAATGCTGAGAATACTTGTACACTCTAAATTTAAGTGCGGCTGATTTGACCACGGAGATCGGACTCACGGCTGGATTGACTGCAGTCTACTAGCCTACTGTTTCTTCTACACAGCACCGTCCTGTAAATGACAACATCCGGTCTCAGAATATTCTGTTTCTGTTTTCTAGTGATTTTATTTTTTGTTATATGAAATAGAAAATGAAAATCGAATATCTTTTTAAATTTCGCTCATCCCTTTCTGACCATGAAAAAGAAAAACGCTTTGTATTTCAATTTGAATTTTTGTATTTTAAAACAAAAATCAAATAACCACTCGTTTTCTGTTTTTAATACCCGTTTCTGAAAGGAAAATCCAATGACCAAAACATACACGGACCCATCAACCTACTGCTTCATACAACGTTAGTTCACTCCTCCCCGGCACTTTCCATAACATCCCTTTATTCAGGCGTCTGATTAACCAATCGGTGCCTCCCGATGCTCTTCGATCGACCAATCACTGGCCTTCACCTCGTGGCGCGTCACTAGTATACGGAAAACGTCAACATGTAGCGCTAGCATAGTCAAGTTAGCTCGATTTAAAGCGGATATTGGGACTTTCTTGTCAAACTCGTTCACTTAAATTAGGAAACGTTTTGAAACCCATTTAAATAAATGTTACATTTTACATGTATGGTTTTATTTTGCTAACTTTAAAGAGTCCTCCATAGTATATTTAATATTAATCATCAATGCGACCGGCAGGCTATTAGAAAATGGACAGAATGTGCTCTCCGGCCTTATTTTGAAGGGTTCAACGGACGTCTTCCTTTCTCATGCTTGGAACTTGACACTGTTAATGGAGCGCCTAGTGAGCAGAGTAGCTTCACCGATGTAAACTCTGCTGCTGACCGATGATAGTGAACCTTCGGCCGTTTGAGCTACTACGGTAAAGTCTGGTTCAAGTATTCCAGATTATAGTCGCATTTTGTCCGCCGTTCTTAGACAGCTTGCTATAAGCCTCTTAGCTAGCTAACTTTACAACCCGTTACTGAATGGCTCAGGCTATGAACGTGATGTGGTTGCTTTACAGTTTTTCTTTTATCTAAATAATACAGTACCGTACTTTTATACACCGATCAACGGTGGTTGTCTTTGCGCCAGATTAACTCTAATAATTGTCACTTTTGTTGTTTTAAGTTGTTTGTTCCAGCTGGTAGACGGAACCCAGATTTCATTTTGTTAGCATTCTGGGCAGCGCGTCCGCGTATTCAGAAAGAATCGTGTACCAAATCCCATTGAAAAATGTGGCGGTTTAAACATTCTTGGCATATTGTCACTAATACGTAGTGGATGCACCGGAAGTCAAGACCTGCAACGAATCTAATATGTGTTATTGTGCATTCGGGTTATATCTGACCCACCAAGCCCGACTCAGTTTTAATAAAATCTTCTAAATCTGAGCTTTGAAACGCCAGCTGTAAGAACGTTGTAAGTTAGTGCTGTGCCCCAACCTTGTGAAGTGCACTGGTCGCTGTTGTTAACGTACGGTGCTTTCCTTACACAGTTTCTGAGTGGTCGTCATGAGCATGGCGGACCGGGAGGAGCGCCGCTTCGCCGAGGTTTCCCGGGAGTCTGTCAAACTCATGGCCGAGAGTGCAGGCGTGGACCTCGGCGACGATGTGGCCTCGCTACTGGCGGAGGACGTGTGTTACCGGCTCAGGGAGGCAACGCAGGTCAGTGCTGCAGGGTGCATGGACGGATGGCTTTAATTCCACACATCCGCACTCATCCCATTTAGACACACAGTCTACAGTCACCTTGTTTCATACTCAAATGATTGATTTTGGGTGGAGTATGGCTTTAAAGGATAAGCTTTATGAGATAAACATTACCAATATACTCCTAGAGACAAATCTCTATCACATCATTATTGCTGAGTGGATATGGAATATAAAGTAGTGCAGTATTGAAGGTGTGCTGTTTGGACCCGCACAGAGCAGCTCTCAGTTTATGAGACACGCCAAGAGGAGGAAGCTGATGGTGGAGGACTTCAACAGAGCTCTGCGCTGGAGCAACGTGGAGGTGAGAATGTTGTTGTCTGTCTGTACGGTCAGTGTGACGCTCTACAGAGGTCACTGCCTTCAGCTTCTTATCCTCCCTGTGTTCTTCAGGCCATCTGTGGCTATGGGGCCCAGGATGCGCTCCCTTTCCGTTCAGTGAAAGAAGGAGAGCTTTTCTTCGTCGAGGACCGGGACATCAACCTGGTGGAGTTGGCTCTGGCCACCAACATTCCCAAGGGCTGTGCTGAGACCATGGTGCGAGGTATGACCCACCGCACTAACATAACCCAGACAGAAGTGTGCTGGATGCTGAAAGTTCACAATCCAGGTCTTTCAGTCATTACTAATGACGGACTAACACTAATAACTAATCATTTCTCCCGTTTTCTTCTCCTGTCAGTGAATGTGTCGTACCTGGATGGGAAAGGCAACCTGGAGCCTCAGGGGACAGGTATTACTCAGCCACATTATCATTAATATCAGCGACGTTTCCTCTCCTCTGTATTTGGGTAAAGAGGCAAATATCCCTGTTTATGATAATACACACATCAACCTGCGGCACCTCAACTGACTCCATAGGATGTAATAATGTTTAACAGGTGACTCCTGTTTATATGTGACCTCTGCCTCTGACTGAGTGACGGTTTCAGTGTCTGTCTGTTGACCTGTCTCAGTTCCCACAGCAGTGCAGTCTCTGTCAGACGACTTGTTGAAGTACTACCAGCAGATCACACGGGCCATCCTAGGAGAGGACCCCCACCTCATGAAGGTAGACTGCTGATCAGCACAAGCAGATGTTCTGTGAGGTTAAACAGTGATACCAGTGACATTTTTCTGCTGCGTGTTTCAGGTGGCTCTGCTGGACCTGCAGTCCAACTCCAAGATCGCCGCACTCCTGCCATACTTTGTTTATGTTATCAGTGGGGTACGATACCATTTTTATTGTTTATTCACTTTTAGAATAGTTTGGATTTTCTGTAAAAAAAAAAAAAAAAAACTGGAAATGAATGCAGTTGTTGACTGTGTGGCTGTCTCTGTCCAGGTGAAGTCAGTGAGCCATGATCTGGAGCAACTCAACCGGCTTCTCCACATGGTGAAGAGCCTGGTCCAGAACCCCTTCCTGTACCTGGGCTCATATGTGCGCAGCCTGGTATCCAGCGTCATGTACTGCATCCTGGAGCCGCTGGCCGCCTCCATCAACCCGCTCAATGACCACTGGACCCTCAGGGACTACGCAGCACTGCTCCTCAGCCACATCTTCTGGTGAGCTACTGAAACAGAGACTGTTCATACGGTTCAGATGATACGGGGTCATATTATACAATCACACGCAGGGTTTATTGTGCTTTATATGAAACTCCAAAGAATCTACCAAAAACATTTGTTTTTCAGGCCAACTGACAACAATGATTCAGAGTTTGTTTCAGTGAGTTTCCTATTGACCAACCAGCGTGGTATCAGCCTTTTTCCACCATTTAAGTTGTAACAGCAAATGGATATTTAGACATCCAGCAGACACAGAGCAACATTAAAATCCTTTTGGGCCTGTTTCAGTCCATGTGGTGAAAGTCCAAAGTATTTATTCTCCTTTTTATTGTTTTGTTTTTTTCTCTAGGACTCATGGTGATCTGGTGAGTGGTCTCTACCATCAGATCCTGCTGTCGCTCCAGAAGGTTCTGTCTGACCCAGTGAGACCGCTCTGCTCCCATTACGGAGCCGTGGTGGGGCTTCATGCTCTGGGATGGAAGGTACGTTCACTGCTTCCATCTGTAAATCTTGTGTTTCTGTAACAAAGGTTGGGTTGGAAAAATTCAGCGTTCCTGCACCATCCTAGAAAAGCTGGAAAAGTTGGAAATGTAGAGACTAGTTTTCCAGTCATGGAAATTGATTAAAATGACCAAATATCTTAGAAATGTTAGAATTTTTAGATCTCCTATGTAAACCTTGGTGTGTTTTCTGTTTGAACATCGACTGCTGGAAGGATAAGCTGTATGACGCTCCAAAGTAGGTTTACCAGATGTAAAGTGGAACTGACAGCAGTGATCTTTTCGGCATCAAGTCTGTTTTTTCCAGAGCTACAAGTGACATTCTCATATCTCCATGCATATACAGCCTGTTAATGATCACATTTCTTCTTGCTGTGATAAATAGATGCACAGTGATGAACAATTACATTTTCTAGAAGATTAATTTTCTGTAAAATGAAATAAATTCTACTTTATTTGAACTGTTATGGTCTGTAGCCAAATTAATGTAGTCAAGTTGCCCAATATTGCAGCTTATATGAAGGTTTGTTAGCAACTCCTGGGAAATGTGATGTTAAAAAGAGTAGGAAGCCTGAAATTGTCTTTGGCTTCACCACAGTCAACATGGATTACAAATAAGACAACAAGTATGCAATACAGTCCAATAGGCGTATCACAAAAAGTAAAGTGCCAAATTCCCCCGAAAAAAATGTTCTACCCAGCTCATGTTATCAGGTGAAAACAAACAACAAACACCAGCATACCTACCAGTTACACTGAGAAAGTGTGTGATTGAGACTTATGACTCCCATCTGTGATTATTGTATCAGTGTGTGTGAGACACATTCCCAAAGATCATATGTTTGTAGACATTTGTTCTCTCAAAGTATAGATTTTGATTTTGAATTACTGTCCATTCCTCTATTGTGGGGGAATCGGGAGGCAGTTTTTACAAGAAGATATCAGGACACAGAATAAATCTAGAATCACTTCCACCTTTCAATACTTTTAAAAACCTTTTAAAGTCAACTCTGACAGAACAGTGTAATTGTTTTTAACTAGGTGCCCTTTAAGTTGTATGTCTGTATTAGCTTAAGTTAAGTGTAATGTCTTGTTTGTGTTTTAGTACGTATAGTGTCAGTCTTGGCCAGGACTCCCTGGGAGAAGAGTTACTGTAACTCAATGGGACTTTTCCTGGTTAAATAAAGGTTAAAAATAAATAAATAAATAAAATGAAGGGCCCTGAATGAAATTCAGCATTTCCTAAAGTAAAAGTGTAAATGGAAAGGTGTTCTTTTATTAAATATGGCTTTGACTGCTTTGTGCTTCTCTGACCAGAAATGTCTTTGAAGCTGTGAATCCCTAAAACATTTGTGTTGGCAGGCTGTGGAGAGGGTGCTCTTTCCACACCTTCCTGCCTACTGGGCCAACCTCCAGGCTGTGTTGGATGACTACTCTGTGTCCAATGCCCAGGTCAAAGCAGATGGACATAAGGTGTATGGAGCCATCCTGGTCAGTACTGCAGTCCTTACAGTCAGCAACTACAACACTCCTGTTTGGATTTGATTTTTAGGCAAAATCCTCACTGCTAGTTAGTCATCACTTTAGTTTTTGCAAGCACTGACATTTACACCAGTGTTTCTTATAGTACATACAGCATATGCATAGTAAGCATAGCCTGTTCATTATACTACATCATGACTGTGATTTAGGTTTTATTGGACCCCTAAGTTCAGTTTAGTTAAATCATTCTGCTTTTCTTAGTTTCTCATATATCTAAAATGTTGCAATGTTGGATGTTGATATTAAATGAAGCCAAAGTGTCAAGTGATGAGGTAGCTTTATTTACATCCTAGAATATGAAAGGGTCAGTTTTGCTGTATTCTTTGTAAAGAAGAGTTTGTATGTATGTATGTTAAGTACTGTATCTTGTGTGTGAAGTTGACATCTTGTGCTTCCATAAACATTCAGAGCACATTTCCCACGTGGCATTGCAGCTGTTTGCAGTCAGTAAGTTCCCCTGTCTGTCCTGCAGGTGGCAGTGGAGCGCCTGCTGAAGATGAAGGCTCTGTCTCTGTCTCAGCCGGCAGAGGGAGGCTCCAGTGGTCAGCTGGGCTCTGTGGCAGGCGCTATGGGCTACAGGGTGAGCTCCCCCGGCCTGAGCCCCCCTCCAGAGCCCCTGTCAGAGGCTGCCCTGGGAATCGCCAGCCACCTTCAGGCGGGCGGGGCTGGCTGTCCCTGGGAGGAGTGGACCCCAGTCCCTCTGCCCGCCATGTACTGCGAGCTCTACTCCTTCTTCGGAGACAGCCTGGCCGTCAGGTTCAGTACAGGTCCCGGCTTCGGCAGCTACCCCCCCTGCACCCCGTCCCAGCTCGGGGACGCCAGGAAGGAACCCCCCGGCCTCGCCTCCAACCCTGATACCACCCGAAAGATGCCACAGCTGACTGCCAACCTCAACATCAGCCCCAGGCAGGATGGGAGTCCCCGCACTGATCCGCCCCCACCCAGCCTGGCAGCTACCGGACCTGGAAGGTGAACCAGTCTGACCCTCTCTGAAAGCTCAACTGTTGGGTTTGTGTCTGCAGTGCTGAATGTAGCTGACTTCCTTCTCTCCTCCAGGTCCTTGGCTCGCTCCTCCTCCTCCTCTTCCTCCTCCTCTGTGCAGCGCTCCAGATCTTCCTCATCACGTTCAGGCCAGCGTTCGGCTGGTCTGTCTCGCGACGTTTTCCCCAAAGCCCGCTTCACCTCCCCTCAGACTGGAATCCCGGTGTTCGCCTTCCTCATCGGCGGGCGGCAGATGGGTCGCCGATGCCAAGGCCGCCGCCCCTTCCAGACCACCTTCGCCCCAACTCCACCTCTTCCTGCCATCCCGCCACGTGCCTATGCTCACAAACTGCCTGTCATTGGCAGGGTGGGCAAACCTGTACACCGCTGGGCGTGTTCCCATTACTCCCTACATCTGCCGCTCTAGGGAGGAGCTTCAGACTGCAGAGCTACAGACTAACAGACCCTTGTTCACATTCTCAGCTTTTATGATATTTCATAGTTCAAGTTGCAAGGATTCAGATTTCTTATCAAGGTGGAGAACAATATTGGATATAAGTCTTTATGGTCAATTCCAACTGATTTAAAGCTGCTATATGTAGTATTTGAAAATGTCTGACGTTGGCACCCCCTAGTGGTGGTATCAAAGAAGACAGTGGTGGACAGCAAAGTCCAGCACTACTCCACCTACGTACACAACCCACTGAAACTGCACCAGCTTTCACTAGGAGGGATTCATTTTTCTACAAACAAACTTTTTAACTTCTAAGAAAGATGCTACAACTACATAAAAACTCAGCATATATGAGCTTTAATATGAAGTGACGCCGGCATGGACCACAACAATGTAATCAGGATACATGTTGTTTTTTTCATATTTTGGCTTTTGAGCCAGGAGGCAAGTCAATCAAGAAACCATTTCTCACTTTGACATCAGATAGGCAGCATAATAAATAAATAAATAAATAAAATAATGGCAGTTTCCTGTATGTGTGCGGTGCTGTTGGTGTGCAGCTGGTATACTAATTTATGCCCCAAGGACAAACACCCTGCATTATAAATAGTAACACGTAGTACTACTCTTCCTTTATTCCCTTCTCCATCCACAGCTATGAATGATGCACATCAGAAGTGATTTAGAAGTGGGTATACCCAATGCAGACAGACAATACCCTGCACTACACCACTGCACACGTGTTGTCAAATTGCTTGTTAATGAGAATTATTATATTATTATTAACGTTATGTGTTGAAGATGTTTTCTTGATTAGATTTGCCATTTATTTGGCCACTGAAACGTTAAAGTTATGAACACAACACTGACTTATTGTCACCTTTTTAAGTTGATACGGTGAATCTGTTAGTATCATTTGGAGTCATGTTCATGTCCCGATGAATGTAAGTCCAATATTCACGCTGTTGTTGTTGTTTTAGTCTCCTCCAACTCTTTATCTGCTGAATGCTCCACTGTGGCCCCTTTTCCACCAAATTAGTTCTGGTTCTTGACCCAGTTCTGTTTAAGATTCTTAGAACCATGCTGCCATCTAGCAGCCAGTCCACATTTCCACCAGTTTTGAGTGGAACCATAGTAATCAGATGCATTATCAGCAGAGGGCTCTGTACATTGCACATGCAGAATATGACGTGCCAGCTTTGCTTTTGGTCGAAATGCTCTGAACAGCTCAAAACTAGGTCCTTGAACCGGAATGTGGTCGATTCCCTGTTGGTGGAAAAAGGCCTGTGTTCATCCGAGTGTCAGTAACAGGATCCCACACACAGGAGAGACTAGAAACTATGGAGTATGGAGTGATGGGTAGAATGGTTATTCCTCCCTGACTGAATACCTGCTGAGGACAGTTTATAGGACTGCTTGTCTGACATCTTGAACATCTGCTGTTTTCATAGAATAAAAATATCTGTTGTAGTTTTGAAACCTGGCTGACTTCTATAATTCACAATTGTTTTCTCCTCTGGCTGAGTCCAACCTGCTCTAGCTTTCTAAATATTTAAAGCCTAACTATCCTTCAGTATCTGGTTGCAGTCTGCAGAGAAATAGAGCAGAGAGGACCAACAATGTCCCGGCTCACGTCCTCACTGGCTCTGTTCTGTCAGGTCAACGCGCTCTCCTGCCTGGTCCTCTGCTACCTGCTCTTCGTCGTGCTGGGAGGTGTGGCGTTCACGGCCGTGGAGAAGCCGGTGGAGAGGGAGCTGAGGGCCGAGGTGGAGGAGCTGCGTCGCTCCTTCCTGCAGGAGAACCCGTGTGTGCAGGAGAGCGGGCTGAGGGAGCTGCTGGGGAAGGCTCTGTCCGCTCACCGCAGCGATGTGGCCGTTCTGAAGGCTGACGCTGAGGAGAGGAGCTATGACTTTACATCTTCTCTTTATTTTGTCATTGTCACTCTGACCACCATGGGTAAGATGCAGTCAATGCAGACATCTTAAACCAGGCTGCAGCTAGTCAATATTTTCATTATTGATCATGATCAATAATAATTTATCAATAATAATTATTGATCTTTTCCCATTTCATTCTGTACAATCAACTTTAAAAAAAATTAGAATCATTGTGTTTTTGTTACCTTACGATGAACTGTTTTATCTACAGAGGGAGAGGGTCCAGTGTGTGGGGTTTAGTGGCATCCAGCGGTGTAGAACACAAGAAATTATCTTAATCTAGAGACAGCATTTGGTTTGTACTTTCTGGGCTACTGTAGAAACATGGTGGTTCAACAGGAAACAAGAGGATACAAACATCTAATTCTTCAGTAACGAAAACACAATGATTTTTATTTTCAGGTGATCATACACTGATGAAAACATATCTATGGGTATTATATTCCATTTCTGACAGTCCTTCAATAATGTTAAACAATGGACCTCTAAGTAAATCTTGCTTATAGTACTCAATATACTGTTAAGTTTCAAATGCAGGATTGTTATTAGATGTAGTCACACACTATCATTATTCATTTAATAATGAATTAAAGTGTGGATAAGACACATCCATCAGTTTTATTACAATGGAAGTCTGTTGAGTGGTAGATTTAGATAGATCCATCATTTGAGTTAATCATACCGGTTCTAGCTTCTTAAATGTGAGTGACTGCTGGTTTTCTCAGTCTCCTGTGATAGTAAACTTCAAATCTTTAGGTTTTGGACTGTTGGTTGTTTCTTTGGGCTCTGGAGCATTGTGGTATAGACTCCACAATGAATCGATTGAGGCCAGAATGGTTCCTGTATTTGTCATTTTCCTCCTCAGGCTCAGACTCCTACACCCCCAAATCATACGAGGCCAAGCTCTTCTGCATCTTCTACTGCATCCTGGGGATCCCCCTCACCCTCTTCCTCCTCACCCTCCTCTCCAACATCCTCCTCCCTGTTGTCACACACGCTCCCGTCCACCACCTGTGCACTTACTGGGGTATGCCCTACGCCCGGGCCGCCCTGGTCCATGCCGGCCTCCTCTCTGCGCTCGTCCTGTCCCTCCTGTTCCTCCTCCCCGCCCTCCTGGTCTGCGCTGCGGAGCCGGACTGGAGCTTCTTGGACGCCCTTTTTTTCTGCTTCATTGTCCTGAGTACTGTCGGTCAGGGGGGAGACTCTCTGGGGAGGACCTGGGGCCCAACGGCCAGGGAGACCCTCGAACTACTCACCACATGTAAGTAAAAGGATCATGTTTGAGTCATGTTTGTGTAAGAATAATATCTTTAATTATATAGCATCACAACAAAGTTACAGAATGCTTCACAAATAAAGCAAAGAACACATAAAATGGCATGGAAACGCATAAAAACAGCACCGAGAAACTTAAACAGAGTAATACTAGAATCAGAGAAGCTGGTGCAATATAAGTATGTTTTGAGCTTAGATTTACTGACTGCCTTGGGGCTCTTATTTCAAAAGCTCTGTCCCCTTTAATCTCCAGCCAAGAGTCTGGAACAGATAAAGGCCCCTGTCAGAGGATCTCAAAGTGCGAGCAGGGTCATACGGGTATAAAAGATCCGTAATATACTGGAGAGTCAGACCATTTAGGGCCTTGTAAGTAATTAAAAGCAGCTTAAAATCAATTCTAAAGCATGGAAGCCAGTGTAAAGAGGATACATTATATTGATTAAATGTGTTGTTGTGAATTAACTTACATTAGAACTGCAACAATATCAGTCTGCAGGGTTTGACTTTAAAGCTAACTTCAAGCTAAAAAAGTAACTAACTTTTAACTTGAAGCTAAAAAAGTAACTTTTAGTCATATTTGCTGAAACTTCCACTATATCCTGACAGTAGTACCCAAAGTGTCAGCATTTGACGACTAGGGAATGATACTCAATCAACTATCTTTCTCAGCTCTCATTGGTTGTTTCCATTCAGATTATCTGTCTTGTACTACTGTCAGGATAAAGTGAAAGTTTCAGCAAATATGACAAAAAGTTATTTTAAAAAAAGTTACCACCTGCAGCTTTAAGCTGTATATCATAATATTATTATTTCAAATGATGTGTAAGGTGTCACTAACCCATTAGTTTTTTCATTTTTATTCCATTTTTAATTTTTTTTTTTAAATGGATTTTTGTCACAGCAACTATTTTGACATGAAATAGTAGGGTAAACACCGGTGTTACCAATAATAATAATTAAGGTTTGGTTTGGTTTCCTTTAATGTGGCAGAGCCTTTCTAGTGAGCACCCTGACCCTGTTCGTTGAATAGATTACATTTCCACCAGTTTTGAGTGGAACCATAGTAATCAGATGCATTATCAGCAGAGGGCTCTGTACATTGCACATGCAGAATATGACGTGCCAGCTTTGCTTTTGGTCGAAATGCTCTGAACAGCTCAAAACTAGGTCCTTGAACCGGAATGTAGTCGATTCCCTGTTGGTGGAAAAAGGCCTGTGTTCATCCGAGTGTCAGTAACAGGATCCCACACACAGGAGAGACTAGAAACTATGGAGTATGGAGTGATGGGTAGAATGGTTATTCCTCCCTGACTGAATACCTGCTGAGGACAGTTTATAGGACTGCTTGTCTGACACCTTGAACATCTGCTGTTTTCATAGAATAAAAATATCTGTTGTAGTTTTGAAACCTGGCTGACTTCTATAATTCACAATTGTTTTCTCCTCTGGCTGAGTCCAACCTGCTCTAGCTTTCTAAATATTTAAAGCCTAACTATCCTTCAGTATCTGGTTGCAGTCTGCAGAGAAATAGAGCAGAGAGGACCAGCTCTCATTGGTTGTTTCCATTCAGATTATCTGTCTCGTACTACTGTCAGGATAAAGTGAAAGTTTCAGCAAATATGACAAAAAGTTATTTTAAAAAAAGTTACCACCTGCAGCTTTAAGCTGTATATCATATTATTATTTCAAATGATGTGTAAGGTGTCACTAACCCATTAGTTTTTTCATTTTTATTCCATTTTTAATTTTTTTTTTTAAATGGATTTTTGTCACAGCAACTATTTTGACATGAAATAGTAGGGTAAACACCGGTGTTACCAATAATAATAATTAAGGTTTGGTTTGGTTTCCTTTAATGTGGCAGAGCCTTTCTAGTGAGCACCCTGACCCTGTTCGTTGAATAGAACAGAACAATAATGCATCTTTCTCTCTGCACAGGTTACCTACTGGTAGGCCTGGTGGTGATCATTACCTTAAAGGATACTGTCCTGCAGGTTCCCCAGGTCTGCGCGGTGATGAGGCTCTTCTCTGGTCCGCAGTACACTGAGCTGGAAGGCGTCTATCTCAACGAACTGACGATGAGTGACGACAACACTGAGGAAGAGCCCCAGTACTCCCAGTCCATCTGTACTGTCTCCTCCACTCCATTAGAGCTGTTGTCAGGCCGGCCCGCTCACCCCCACCCACCCAGAACCTCTACTCCCGAAACCACCTGACCTTTACAACTGGAAACTGTTCACACCCCTTTAGCTTCTGACATTAAGGTGTTTCACTATTCAAATACACTTCAGTCCAATTTGATCAAATTCTGTGGAGTCAGATATGGGCCACCAGCCAAGTGAATTTAAATGATTCGCTCTGAATTTAAATGTAAAGCTAAACTGAATTATTTCTCATGTTAATATCCATGTTTAGCTTTCCAACAACATACTGCAGCTCATGGATGCAACGCTGAAAGACTGAGGTGGTCAGTTTTTAGGAATATTCAACCATCATCTACTGAAGCGGACCAGTACTCGATGGTACTGCTGATTTTTGTCCACATGAGTACCCTTACTTCTTATTGAGTACCGCCACGTCTGGTGAGCACGACCGTACACACCACTGAGGTCACCCAGGTCTGAGATTTTTTCTGAGGGGTATATGAAAAAAGTCGTAAAATAGAAAATAGTAAGTCCAGTCTGTCTGGTAAACCTGCCTATTGCAATGCTGGTGAAAACAGCTTAATACTAAAACAACACTGAAAATGTCCTTAGGATGAGGATAAAACACTCCAAAAGAATGATTTTATGTTGCGTGACTTTTTTGGGAGAGCTGGGGAGGGTTTTTTATTTTTTCGTCTCATTCAAAATGTCTATTTTATTTCAGCCTTTCATTGTAGTATAGTAGTTACATAAATAGCTACATCAGGAAGACAACTTTCACTTTCCACATACAGAGGACAACAGCTGTCTGGATAATTCACACTACCTATTGTACTTTAGTGGCTGGTAACGCATGCAACCTTTTCCACTGTGTCTCTGGTGTTTTATTTCTTCCTGTTAGCCATTGAAAAGGCCTTCAAAAGTTTTTTTAATGGGCGTTGCTTAAACAAACAGGTAGCAGGAACGAGACTGACCACAAGGTGTCGTAACTAACTAATGTACAGCTGCAGTCCAGAGGGGTATTGCACAAAAGTAGAATAAAGAAATTGAGCAAGCGCGGCCTGACCTACCTGCTCGGCGCATCCTGGCTTAATCGGTTGCACGTTTGCCGAGCCAGGATGAAAAGGTGCGGCTATGTTAAGCCAGGTGTAGATAGTCGGGATAAGTGCGTGTTCACGGCATACTGAAATAGACCTCGCGATCGCTCACAGAATCACCGATGGGAACATGGATAAGAGTCGCGCTTCATATTTCACGGCCGCTGAACAACAGCTCCTGATGGAGTTCTATGAAGAGGTGGAAGATATCATAAGAAAAAAGGCAATACCAATGCCATAATTAAAGAAAGAGAGAAAGCCTGGCAGACAATAGCGGACCGGCTTAATGCTTAAGTAGTCCAAAACTGTACAATTAATAAACGGTGCTCCACTGGAACTGTCATAATTAGGCTCCAATTAAAGGACTAAAGGAGTTACTTTAAGTCCACTAATCAACTGTTGTACACTTTGCTTTAAATGTGGCAAGTAGAGGTTCATGTTACTCAGGAAATGTAAAGTATGATTAAGTGCAAACAATTATCCACAATCTGTGTCATTTAATCTATTTTTATCTATTTTATCTTTCTATCCTTCATAAAGAACAACCTTGTCTGGCCATAAAAGGACCGGGCAGCAAGTTAAAGTTAAATACAAGAACATTTTGCAGGCTGGTCAGTGACTATAAAGTAGATAACAGTGAATAAATGAGGTGAATAGATTAGGTGTCTGCTGACATGTTGAATGTCTGTGTGATTGTAGCAGTTAAAAAAAGCCCATAGAACTGGCACAGGGGGCGGCCCACCAAGCCAGGATATGTACGGAAAATAATTCCTTTATTGAGGTTCTCTGCATCCCCAACAGAATAAAGGAAGCTCCCACCTGCAAAACATCTCACTGTACCACAGACCATCTGTGGTACAGTGAGAGCATGGCTTCCTGCCGTCTTGTGCTGTATTTTTGGACCCAGCAGCCTACATAAATATCTTAGTCCATCACCTGAGAATCTGTATCTCTCAATGAGATAGTCATCTCCAACGGCCAATGGGTCTGACCTGTCCCAGAAGACTCTTTCATGACTAAATGCTCGACTGAGGATTAGGGCTTCCTCATCCAGTACATCCTCCAAAAAAGGGCAAGCCATTATGAAGAGGGAACAGGTGAATGGGAGATAGATAGATAGATAGATAGATAGATAGATAGATAAATATTCCTTTATTTGTCCCACAATGGGGAAATTCCAATGTAACAGCAGCAAAGTGGATGGAGAGAAAACAGTATAAATAAACAGTAAGAGTATCCAATCCAATCCAACTTTATTTGTTAAGCACTTTAAAAACAACCAAAGTTGACCAAAGTGCTGTACAGGAGAATAAATAAGACATCATAAATATAAACAGTGATGGTGATGATGAAGACCACTGTGAGGAATATAAACAGTGATGATGATAACACTGGAAAGTTCCCGTGGCAGACAACACGGACGAAGTCCGACGGCGACGAGCTCGATGTCCGGGCTGCAGACGCTCTTTCACACAGTCGTGCCCGGCGTTACACCACCTGTTGTTTATGAGCACGGACAGTCCCCCTCCTTTCTTCATGCCGGTCGCGGTGGTGTCCCTGTCGGCTGGAACCGTCTGGAAGCCGGGAATGGTGACGTTGGAGTCCGGTATCTGCTCGTGTAGCCACGTTTGTAGGGTTTAAAGCTCCTCTTCTTCATCCTCCGTTTAACCCCCGCTCTGCAGCCTCACCGTCTCCTCAGCTCCTCCGGTATGGAGGGTCTCTCTCCAGTCAGGATGCTAGGGGGCCTCAGGGCGATCATCTGGTCGCGGGTGTAAACAGTGCAACTCGCCGTCGCCATGGAGACCCGTGCAAACAAAAAATCAAAAGTGCTCAAAAACGCCCAAAAAGTATTTAACGTTAGGCGACGTGAACAAAGTAGTAAGAAAGTAAGAAAACAGTTAAAAATAGAAAAAAACACACTGAAACTACAACAATGGTAGGAGCTGCCATGACAGGCTGCCGTTGTCGCCGGCGCCATTCCATAATCAGTAGGGAAATAATAAAAAAACACTATGTACTAGATGTGTAAGTATATATATATATACTATATTGCCCTATTGTCACAGATTTCATTGAAAACACCTTTGCAACTTCATCAGCTGTGTTTTGTAATCTCAATTACTGCAATAAAACACATATTTATGCAGTTTGACAAGCAGTCTTCATTAGCATAGCAATATAACACTTGTCCTGAGTAATAATACTACCACTTGAATCAATATAAAAAGACTGTTGCAATTACAAACAGCCAACAGATTGAAATGAAATAAGAAATTACAATATATATGTAATATTTTAATGCAGGATAATTAAAATGATGCAACATACTTAGAAAGACCATGGACATGCTGTAAAACACATTAATTCCTCACAGGATTGACGGTGGAAATACAGGTGAATCACTAGGACTTATCTTAGCCTTGCTGTTAGCCTGGTCTGGAGCAGGCTAACTGCAGAGAATAAATCACCATAGTAACTTGGCCGGGATAAGTTTAACCTGCTTTCATGCAACCGACTTGAGGCTAAATTCAGCCAGGATAACCAACATATCCCGGGTTAATCCCTTATCCTGGTTTTGTGCAATACCCCTCTGGTCTGAGGGAAGAGGTTGTGTTCAACGTTTGTGCCACTCCACAACAGTGGTTCCCAACCTTTTTCCTTAAAGAGCACCTTTCTCTATCGTTGAGTAAACTGATGACCCTTCACTAATTAGTCAATGCAATAACTGCAGGAAGTTTGTGTAAAATTAGCGATTTGGATGAATTTGGAGCAGATTATTTCCTGTGAATATTGATCAGAGATGAGTTTTCCATATTTTTAGGAACTTTTTTTTTTGTCTGTATTATATATATTTTAACAATCATACATACTTAACAGGCTTCTTTTTTAAAGTCAGTGTTTTTGTCTCCCTGTTGCGTCACCATTGTTCTATTAGCTCTTTACTTGTTTAAACTACTTTTCTACAGCAGGACGAGACTGTTTATCTGAGAGTGAAGGCTCTGTGAATACAGCTTGTGTTCAGGTCTTTACCATCTTTTTACTTAGATAAGATAAGATAAGATAAGATAGACTTTATTGATCTCACACTGTTGAAATTCACTCGCTACAACAGCTCCAGATACAACACAACACAATAGAAATAAAAAATACACATTAAATAAAAATAGAATAGAAAAATCCAAGATCTAATAGAAAAAACAGAATAAGATTAACATGTACACTATATACAGCGTTTTATATACAGATGTGGTTGATAAGGAACATTGCACAGGTCACAGCAGGAGGTAGTGGCATGGTGTAGAAAAAAATCTAATTGCACAGGATAAAATATATACAGCAGTATAGTTTAGAGGAAGTATATCCAATCCAATCCAATCCAACTTTATTTGTTAAGCACTTTAAAAACAACCAAAGTTGACCAAAGTGCTGTACAGGAGAATAAATAGGCTGTATAGGCTATGAATAAAGAGTATAGGTATAATAATAATTTGCTTGTATGGAATTTTATACGTTTGTAAATATATCTATATATCTATATCGATATAGATATATATATCTATATCTATCCAAGTTTTCTTACACCCCTTAAAAACAAGAAGGCCTTGCCACCCCTGTGAAGGGGTTGGGTGTCCCAATTCCCAGGTTCGCAACCACTGCTCTAATTTGGTTAAAGATCAGGAAAAAGCTTCTGAATGACTTGTCTCACTGGTTGTAGCTTCATGAGCCTCAGTGTGATGTGTATAGATAAGAAGGGTGTGGAATATATCTCTGCACATCTGGAGCCTCGCACTGTTTGTCCAACCAACAACTCACTGACAGTGCATCAACACAAGCAGTCAGGTTGCAAACAAACGCCCAGGTTCTATCACAAATTTTGTTGGAAGAGAATATGAAAGCTATACTTGCTGTAGTCGCCGGTTCAAACATTACCTTTGCAAAGAGGAGATTGTTTTTTTAGGTCAGTAACTTTAGTGAGTACAGTGTTCTCATTACTGATGTTGTAATAGAGCTGAATCCTTCTTTAAAACATGACTCTACTCTAAAAAAAGACTCAATATCGATGCAGCAGAACCAGAGATATTGCCTTTTTTATCCCACACTTTTTCTTTCACTACCCATAATGCAACTTGACTGTTGGGAGATGTGGGTATGCTATGCTAGTAGCAGTTAGTAGCCTGGAGCCTCTAGCCCACAGCAGAGATGAGTAAGATCAGTTCTTTCTCCACACCAACAGATATTTTCTTTATTTTCAAACCGACTCTGACTCAGTTGAGGCTATTTATCATATTCACAGAGCTCCTTTCTGGGAACACTAAAGGCTTCATAACAAATATAATTTTTTTTGTTTTAAATCTATAATAGTACCCAGGGGGCACTAAGGTAGCTCAACTGGTAGAGCGCTGAATATGAACAGAAAATCCCAGCATCACTTTAGCTTTTTCAGAAAAACTCTAATGAAGTGATGGAATTATGACATCCCTCACTCTCCTCTGCAGTGCTTTGGAGCAGTGCATTAGGAGTGAATGCTGCTTTGATGAACCATCTAACTGAAGGTGCAGACTGCTTTACTTGGAGCTGCAACAGAGGCCTGTTGTGTGTTCTCCTACTATGGTTGTGTTTGTACAAGGCACAGAGGACTATGGGAGGGTGCCACCATGAATCTGAGCTTGTGCCTAGCACTGCCAGCTCTCGCCCCTCCCTAGTAACACACACACACACACACACACACACACACACACACACACACACACACTTTTCTTTGCTCGTGAGATTATCAATCTTGTTAGTCCACCTCCTTGAGTGTATACACTGAGGTTATAGGGCATCCCGGTAACAGCCATGAGTGAGTGTACGCACAGGACAGGGGGGGACGATGTGCTAAATGTGCTACATTAAGTGTTTATTCTTATTGTTATGTCGCAGTGTCCATATGTTGTTTTTTTTCCGTATCTATGGATGTATGTACAGACTGCGGTAACACATTTCCTGTGAAGGACATTAAAGTATATTATTTTTATTATTATTATTATTATTATTATTATTAGATATATGGTGTGAAATATATATATATTTATGAATAAGTCACAACATTTTTCAGCCACATTCTGTCAGTGAGCGATGGAAACTATGGTTAGTTACTGGAACAATCTGTTTTTGTTGCATGCATTTAACACCGTTTTTGTGTGAAGCCACAAATTTAGTGTTAACTTACTCTGGCAGCACAAACAAGTACTCAAGGGCATTTTAAAAAATGCTAATGTTTGTCAGTTGAAGCTGCAGTAGGTAACTTTTATGAAAATATATTTTTGTCATACTACCAGTAGAACATGAGACAGATAATCTTTGAACAAATCAGGTTCCTCTGTCTCCTCCTAGTGCTCCTAATGGCATTTGCAAAATTTCACCGGCCCGAACAAAAACAACCAATCAGAGACAAGAAATGGTAAATGGACCTGTACTTGT